CCACAAACAGGACTTTAATATCACCAACCATTCCCATGTTATTACGGTGTATCCATATAAATGGCCCACCCTGTGCAACAGAATTACTGAAGTGTTTACTGGACCAGTCAAAGTCGAGACTTCAACCTGACTCTAAAGCTGTGTTGTGTTGCCTGCAAACCTCAATGAATGAAAGAAGAGTGGGCCAAAATTCTTCCACAACCAAGTGAAAGACGGACTACTTTTCTTTTAATAATAGCTCTAATTAACAGTAGAATATGAAGCAATATTAAAAGAGTACTCCTAGTTATCATATTCCCATGACTCTCATATTCTCATTGCCTTTAATATATGTGCATTACCCTTTAAAGCATCTACAGCACACACGGAAAAAATGCAGTCCGAAGCATCTTAAAAAGGACCCACAATCAATGTTGGAATGAAACGGACGAAAGGAAAACTTAGTTTGACTTTCAAGACAAATGCTATTTATTGTATCTTAGGAGGACTGTTTCAGACTGTTCATTATTAATGCCTTCATGTGTAAGACAAAGTGTTTGGTGTATAAATATTAGCCTAATCTTCTCTTCGTTCAGTCTGCAAAGCAATGCTGTTTAATTTTAAGAGAAAAGAAAACAACATCTCTCATTTCGCAGTTACAGAACAAATTTGATTTCCGTTCATTCACATTCATGAAACAGACCATTTGTTCAGACTTGTATCTGTGGATATCAATTTCTCCTTCATTCGCCGATGGGGACAAATGTTGCATTTTAATGAATGTAAAACTGTTTTGGATGTGCAAATATGTAGTCAAGGTATCATTGACCTATGGATTGGTGCATATGGGGCAATTAGCAAGATGCTGGATTTGCATGGATTGTTTTATGCAGAGCTTTTCGCTTTTCACCTCACAGGACACCAAATTGACACAGAAAGTTCAACATTTCTTAGTGGAAAGTTGAGCCTAAACCTGAATATTATAAATACGCACTTGGGCATTATGCTCACTGTATCTATAAAGTTATACTGATATACAATAAACTGTACATGTGTTCAGTGGGTAGAGGGTAACGTCTACGAATTAGAAGGTTGTTGTTCGAGTACCTGCAGCAGTCTGCATGTCAAAGTGTACTCGGGAAAGACACTGAACCCCAAGCTGCCTCCAATAATCTACTGGAGTCTGAGTGTGCAAATGTTAAGTTAAACACGCTTAGGCATAGAAAAAATGCACTGTTGGTGAATGAGGCTTGTAGTAAGAAAGCACTTTGAGTCCTCAAACAGAGTAGCAGAGCATTTTAAGGATCAGTCGGGATTTAAACTGAAGCACCCGTAGTTTCTAACTGTGAATGAGATTTTAAAGGCTCTTAAAGAGAATATATTCATTAAATTTGCTTCATGGGTTCAAACGTGCACCATGTTTGTACTTAAAGTACACAATATTTTTATTCTTTAACTAACAGAAGGAAAATTGAGCATTGTTAACAGCTGATTCTTAAGAGAGATTTAGGAGGCAGGAGGTTAATTCACCAGTTTAACAGCTTACAGCTTCAGATTCACAGGTTGTCTATCTGTTTGACTAAATCCTCTTTATACGCCTGTTTAAGACATACAGCCAGCTTCATTGCGAAGACCCCATCGACACTAAAGAGCTAAAAAACGATATCTTTAACGTTAGTTTTCTTCATCTTCTCTGGAGACTGTGGTTAACAGTAATGGCAAATCAAACGAAACCTCCAGATCAGATTTAATTAGTTGCCTGTCAACGCTGCAAAGGATCCCCACTCAACTTCAAAGTGGCACAACTTACACTGAAAACCAGTGGACTTTCGAATATTGCTGGTAATGATTGGGGCGGGCAACGAATGAGTAATAGGAGGTTCTACGAAAAGGTACAGCTCAGAGCAGCTCATTAAAAAAAGTGGAAGAAATGAAAGTGAAGGTAGTTCATTTTAGTTTGGGCCTCCTTTTAAATCTGTGTAAACTGAACGTTGAAGGAAGCACACGTGAAACACTCTGTGTCTCTATGATACGTGTACGATAAGAAAGGCTGTTATTAAGTGTCACATCCCCTCATCCTGGAGGAATTTGTCAGACAGACTCTCTGCTGCCATATTTCCATTCACAGGCTGTCATCTGTCAGACTGAGCAAGTTTCTTTTCCTCGATGTTTTTTTTTCATACTGTCAGTTGATCTACCTTGTTTTCTACCTCTTTCAAACTAAAGTCCCCTTCACATTCAATAAAACTGAAAGTAGGAGGATTATGTGTAATTTCAATCAGGTTACATGCAGATAAAGTGCAACAGAGACAAGCCACTGTCATGTAAGGGCAGTTTTACTCTTTGGGTTTGTTTAACATGCAGTATATTTTATAAACAACTTAAATATTTACTGACAAAGTGATATTTAAGAGGCTACGCATCCAACTACAAAAATCAGGAAAAAACCTACAATGAGACAAAGAGGCGACAATTTCTGCTCCAGAGCTGCATGCTTTAGTAGTAATAGAAAAACAACACCATTCCTGTTAAATGCCTAAATTCGTAAAATTGGTTTTGGCCAGTTTCTTTTCAACTAATTGTAAATATTTACTCATAGAAAAAAGACTCCTCGCTGGTTATATATGGCGTATATAAGAGTGCACTGGAT